GTGCTTAAAAGCACATGGATTATTGTAGTTAATCCTCAGAACAACCCTATGAGGTGGTATAATTATTACCCTTATTTGCAGATGAGAAAACTGAGACTCAGAGAGGTCAGGTAACTTCCCCACCTTCACACAGCTGGTAGGTGGCGGGCCAGAGATTCAATCCCTCTTTGACTCCAGAGCTAGCGTTCTGAACCATGAGCTGTAGTGCCCCAGTGTGCCTCTTTCTGCTTCTGCAGGAGGTGAGCCGGAGCCCTAGGCACTGGGGCAATCTTCTTCCTCCATGGATCAGGTACCCAGAAGCCGCAACCTGGAAGAAGAACTCTCTTGTATCTGATGGGGATTGGGGACGGGACTCCATGCACTATACCCTCCACCTCTTGGAGGTGTTGACTCAGTTGTCTGAATCCTTCCCATCTCCTTGGACACTTCGCTTAAGAAGTGTCTCCAGTTGCTCTTGTCCACTTGAATGCTTTCATTCTTTGAGAAGTGTCTTTAGAAGTCACTCATGTACTTCTTAGCCATTTATCACGCACCATGCTGTGTTGTATTCTTATCTAACAAATTGTTGTCCCAGCCCAAGATAACTGCTGTGTTCTTGGAGTGGGAACAATGTTCGACTATTTTTTTTTATATTATCCGTGGTGCCTGAAACAGGGAGGAACACCTTGTAGCGACTTGGTCAGGAGGATCACTGAGCACTTAATTGCCTCTCTCACTCTGTCTGCAGGAGGAGGCAGGGTCTCAGGAAGTCACTGACAGTTCACCTTTCCAGGTGGGCAACTGAGGGTGGAGAGGAGAGACCCTCCCTTCTGAGTGTGCCTTCTGCACTAGGATATAGCTCGTTGGAGTTTTTGACCAGGCGATTTCTACCTGGTTTTTATTTGTTACAATAAAATGATACTAAAAAGAAAATTCTACAAACTTATATTTCCCCACCTAATGAGAAAGTTTTCATTTTCTGTGTCTCCTTCTAGTTCATTAATATGCATATGTGTATATGTATTTATATTTATATTCACGTTATAGAAATACGTATCCATGTGTATGTATACACACGCATATGTTTATATATGTTTCTTTTTTTTTTTGGAAGATTATAATCTCGGTCATGGAGCTCTGGTGGTGCAGTGGTTCAGAACTTGGCTGCTAACCAAAAGGTCAGCAGTTTGAATCCACCAGCCGCTCCTTGGAAAGCCTATGGGGTAGTTCTACTCTGTCCTATAGGGTCGCTATGAGTTGGAATCGACTCCACGGCAGTAGGTTTGGTTTGGGTTTGGTTTTTAATCTTGGTTATAGCATGCATGCAGTTTGGTTTTCTGCCCCCATCACCCCAAGTGCATATAGTGAATGTGTCTCCATTCTGTTACATAGCCAAATTTTAAGATTTTCTGTAATGGGTTGAGTGGGATTTTCCCAGGGTGGGAGGTGGTGAACTGAAGATAGTACAAGGACACGACCCTTCAGATGTTTCATTTTCGTGTTTTTTCTCTGTTCTTTTCCCTCAACCCAGCAGAGTCGGGCTGGGGGGAGGGGGGAGTGTCCCTGAGTGTGATCCTGATGGCACGTGGAACTAGTGTTGCTCTGTGGAAAGATATGGATGGATGCTTGTGACTTTGCTGGCTGGCAGGAGCCACGTTACTCTCTGTTGTCTCTCTCTTGTTCTTTTCCCTGGGGGTTCTTCTAATTCCAGAGCCTCAAGTCAGGACAAATTAGAGCTGAAAGGCACCTGGGTTGGGGGAAAAGCACTGTCTTCAAACCTTTTGACCTAAACCATGAAAGAAGAGATACATTTTATATCACGACTCAGGATACACATGCACGCATGTAAAACTGTTACAAAAGCTTCTCAAGACGGTGTTTACCCTTACTGTATGCAATACTTTCTGATATTTTCTATCCTATTCTATGCAGTAAAATGAATAAAATGCTGGTCACGACCCACAAACGAATTCTGTAACCTACTAAGGGTTGCAAATGGAAGTTTGAGTAACACCGATCTCACCTAACCCCTTATTAGACAAATGAGAACGCAGAGGCCCGAGGGAGGAGGCTGCCCGAGCTCCCGCAGCCTGGGCCTGGCTTTATTGCTAATGTTGCCTCAGTAGTTGACTTACCCAGAGGAGAACTGAGCAAGTGCTCAGGGAGCTAGAGGACAGCCCTGGTTTTCTGCTGTAATGGGTGGCAGAGGAGAGGGGCACGGCCGGCTTGTCCTCCAACAGCTCTTCTTCTCTTGCCGTGGATGAGCTCTGCCAGTCTGAATGGCTGAGGCAGCCATATTCATGCACACAGTGCTATCCAGTTCTGTGGGGCAGGGGAACAGTGTCCCCAAGGGAAGGACTCCCCTTAACATTTTCCTATAAAACAAGGAAGAGGGAATAGTCCCTCTATGCAGCCTCTGCCCCTGGCCCTCAACCCCCCCAGGACAACCCACATGTACCCCCTGGCTCTCAGAAGTTAATTAGTATGCTGAAAATAGGAGTTGGTGATGCAGACCGTGGACTACAAAGATAGACATGTGTGGGGTTTGCTTCCCGGTTCTGAGACCTGTGGCAGAGGGAAGGGAGGACCAGGGAAAGATACTCTCCTGCCCCTTCTCTGCCAGATGCTTCCACCCAGGGCCTCTGCGGGCCCAGAGCCATGAGCTGGCTGCCTCCCTTGCATTATGAATGTCACAGGGGGGAGCTAACGAGGTTATTGGGCAGAGAAACACTCTCATGTGGCCCCACCCCATGTGGAAGCAGACCTACAGCAGAGCAGGAGGCAGGGAGGCCGGCTTTATCACGCTGTCCCCGGGAAGAGAAGGCACAGGAGGGGCCAGTGGACATCAGGCTTAGTGGGGAACACCATAACATAAGTCCCCCAAGAGGTAGAAACAGTGACTTTGCTAAGGAAAGACATCTGAACAAGGACTGAAAAGAAAGCCAAGGAGAGAGACAGACAGACGTCTTCTGCCTTCATGGGATTCAGCTGAGAGGGGAGGGCAGTCCCTGTATGCTTCGGTGATCCAGCCGGGAGAAACGGGTCACATTAAAAGTGCTCCTATAGAATACGTGTTTATGATAGAGCATTGATTAGGAAGAAGGGAAAATACTAGGTTGAGCTGGTTTTGTAGGTTCATCCTAAGATTTTCACTATAATTCGAAGTGTGGCCGGTGTCTTCCCTTTATATTGCGCACACACAGACATACACACACACCTACACACGTACCTCTTCCACTGCTATATACAGTAAATTCACCGGAGTAATGTGAAACTGAGGAGCCCTGGTGGTGCAGTGGTTACGTGCTCGGTTGTTAACCGAAAGGTTGGCAGTTCCAACTCACCTGGTGGCTCCACGGAAGAAAGACGTGGCGATCTGCTTCTGTAAAGATTACAGCTTGGAAAACCCTATGAGGCCATTCTGCTCTGTTACATGAGTTCACCATGAGTGGAATATCGATTCAGCGGCACCTAATAACAACAATAATGTGAAACTAGAGAGGGCAGACAATGAACAACCCACCCCATGCCAGGTCTGTTACTAGGATGAGTGGCCAAACTGTAACCTCATTAACGTATCAGCGTAAGTCAGGGTAAGGACAACTGAAACTCAAAGCCTCAGGTCTCCCCCAAAACATGAGGGTAATAATTGTGCGCACTTTATATGATTAATTTGTGAATTAAATGGGATACGACGTGTGTCAGGTACTGTATGTGGTCTAACTGGTATCTGTTAGCAGCAGTAACAGGAGTAAGGTGTGGGTGTCTGTCTCCCCTTGATGGATGGAGAAATAGCTGGATCACGGTCAGGCAGCCTGTTTGGGGGACAGCTCAGAGGAAACGAGGTACTTGAGCCCCAGCATCCAGTCCATAGCAGCACCCTCTGTTTTTGCTCTTGGAGAAATGGAAGTGGGGAGAAGGCTTTGAGTTCCTCTAATTTATTCTCATTTTGCACTTCTCTAGCAAACCACTGTTTTTGCCACCAAGAAAATGGGACCCTCAGGCTCATGAGCCATAAAATCTAAGCCAAGTCAAGCATATGGTTAGGATGTAGTGTGTCACCTTTGGTGCTTGATTCACGTCCTGTCCTCCTCTCATGTTCTTAGAGTCTTTGGCATTGGTCCAGAAGTCGGACATTGGGTGAACTTTAGCCCCTTGCATTGCTGCCTCTCTCGCTTCATTCCTTTTTTTATAAAATAGTCTTTTTGTTGTTGTTTGGGACCAGCTGCCTGCCCAGAGAATACGGCAAGATCTCTTCTGGATTATCACTCTTCCTAAGATCTTGCCTGATCCCCCACCTGCCAGTAATTTTTCCTCCTTACAGCCTCTGGAGCTCTTGGATTATGCTACTTGGATGGTACAGGGGGGTGTCTTATCTGTGTATTGGTCTCAACATCCTCTGCGCTAGTCCACCCCCAGGGAGACCAGGTCTCACTCCCCCTCCTGCCGCACCAGAGCTGAGACAAGTACCTTGTACCTGCTGACCTCTCATGTAACTGGAACTTCTGTTGGGGGGGCGGGGGGGGACTTGAGTTCTCTATGAAGTCACTGTGTGCCCTTAGGTAAGTTCTCACCTTCTCTGCTTAGACCAGTGCCCATGTCTCAGTCTCCTTGTTTTAAATCTGGGATAGCCACCAAAGAAGCAAACCTGTTGCCTTCAGGTGGATTCTGACTCGTGGCAACTCCGTGTGTTACCGAGTAGAACTGCTCCATAGGGTTTTCTTAGCTTTAATCTTTTATGGAAGCAGATTGCCAGGCCTTTCTTTCATGGTAGCACTGCGTAGATTCACACCACCAACCTTTAAGTTAGTAGTCGGACACACAGGGTGGCCACAATGATGGCAAATAAATAAGTAGTGGGCTTCTTGTGAATGAAGTACTCGGGGAGGATGTGCTTACAGGTTAAGGGGCCTCTTGGATGGCTGACCCACCGCCATCTTATTTCTGTGAGTATTTACAGACTGAGGAACTCCTGGAACCAAAAATCTTCCCCTGCCCTGATCCTTCCCTCTTTTTTGCAGACTTTAAGTTTGCCATGTACCCGCCATCAATGATCGCAACTGGAAGCGTGGGAGCAGCCATCTGTGGGCTCCAGCAGGATGAGGACGTGAGCTCGCTCACTGGCGATGCCCTGACGGATCTGCTGGCCAAGATCACAAACACGGACGTGGTAGGTGGCCAAGACCAGACCTTTCTTTTCCTCAGCTCAGAGAAAGACATGGTTGGTTTCATTGTGATGCACCACAGACGCTTTTTTGGTTTGTTTTCTAAGATGAACATCCACGGTAGTCCTAAATGGAACAGGTGGAAATGTCATTAAGTTTTTGAAAGCCTGCATGCCATAAAATACAGAAAAGAATGGAGCAAGCAGATGCAAGGGGAGAGGGAAGGGTGTTTAGTAATTTTCCTGTGTGGCAAGGGCTTCCCAGTGGACTTGAGTTGCTGCTTCATTTCCATTTATGTCCACGCTGTCAGGCTGCCTCTCCTCCAGCGTGGAGCATGAAACAGTGCTGCGTGTTTGCCCACACAGGCTAAGGCTGCAAGGCCACCAAGGAGAAGGGACGATTAGAACCAGGAGCTTGCTGCAGGAGAGGAAGCAAAGGTGCAAGAGATGCCCGTGCCATTAGCAGGGAGTCTGGCCTTGGGCAAACCTCTCAACCCCTCCTGTCTCTCACTTCCCTTTTGTTCAGTGTAGTAATGGATTAAAAGCACTTTAAAAAGAATAAAGTGTTGTACAAATTCAAGGAACTATTATTAGCTGGAGATTTTTCCATCCTGTGTGCCCCGTGGACAGCCTAGAGGCACTTACCTTCTGGCTGCCAGAATCTGAAGCTCATTAGAAGAAAGATTTTGACACAAACCAGGGTCAAGTAAGGCTCTGAATTCAGCTGGTAGGAAATTATAGTCCTAAAAGTTTCAGAGCCGTGATGGTGCCGAGAAATCAGAGATAGAGTCCCTGTATTTCACTCACACAGCAATCCTAGAGAACTAAAGTGGCCAGCCTGGGGACTTGGGGTGGGGTGTGGGGGCGCAGTAACAGAATGGGGACTAGAACCTCGATGCCCCAGTTCCTGGCCAGTGAACTTTACACCCCACCCATGCTGCAGCTACTGGGATCTTTTTGTTTGAGAAAGGCCTTTGCTTTAAAGGCAGCTCGAGAGAGGGGTGTTGGCTTTGAGGCCCTCATGAGTCACCATGGTGAAGCTCAAGAATGCAGGGGAACTTCTTGATGACACCCTCTGGACATTCCAAGGGGATTTAGAATGCCCTAATGTGGGAATATATTGAGTTAAGGGGTAATGTGGTTTCCACTCCCCTTGGATGTTGCCGAGCAGAAGGTAAAACCTCAGAGGGCCTAAGGCTGCAGCCCGCTTGCTTTCTCACCACCCTCTATGTATTTTGGCCTTGGGATTTGTTACCAGCACAAGAAAAGGCTGCTGCAGGGAGGTTTTCAGGGCCTGATGGAACAAATCCGGGGTTCTCCTCTGACACGCTGCTGTCTTAAAAGTTTTTTAAATGATGACGTTTCCAAAACATAGCTTTTTAAGTATGTGCTCGAAAATGCAGATTTAAAAGACCCCTTTAAACCTTCATCTAAAGCACAATAAAATAAAAAAAATAAAAAGACGCTGTCAGTGCAGCATGAAGAATGCTTTTCTAATCCTCCTGAGAAAAATCATGGACAGAATTTAACATAGAAATGATACGCTTCCTTTTTTTCCTGAATAACTCACTATTAAGGCAGCCTTATCAATAGGACTTCCAACCAGCTGAAGACAAACCTTTCCTGTACCTCCAGAGACAAAAATGTCAGTGACAGGAGTTTGACCTCAGCTTTGTAACCTCTTTCAGATATTTATAGATCTACTGTGATTGGCTGGTCTATCTCCCTATGAGTCTCCAGCCTTCTCCCAGATCTTTCTTCGGTGCCCCTTACTGATTTCCAGTGGACAGAGGTCATTCCTGGGGGCACCACAGAGGCTCTAGGGATGTGCCTTGCCTTTCAGGACTGCAAACCAGTTTCCGCCAGCTCTTCCTGGAGAAGCTGCCTGTCCTTTTCAGATACTTTGTAGCCAGCCCATTCAAGACAGCTGTGAGACTGGCTTAAATGGATACAAAACCAGTTTAGAGATCTCTTGCTATATACCCCCCCAGCTATAGAGTTGTACCCGGTTTCCGTAATGGGCCTTGGCTGTGTTTCTTAAGTCTCTGGGTGGTGCAAACGGTTAACACCCTTGGCTGCTAACCAAAAGGTTGGAGATTCGAGTCCACCCATAGGTGACCTACTTCCAAAAAATTAGCCATTGAAAACCTTATGGAGCACAGTTCTACTCTGACACTCACAGGTTTGCCATGAGTTGGAATTGACGCCACGGCACCTGGCGTTTCTGTAACTGGAGCACCAGTGGGTCCAGGCCATGCAAAGTCGCTAATGTAAAATAATTTAAACATTTTAATATTAAAAACCAAACACAAGAATACTCAGTAGAATGCAAAATTCATACCACTTTTTCAGGTGAAATTCCAAGCTTATCTGGTATCTGCAGATCTCCCTGGGAGTACTTGTTCCCCCATTTCCTAGGCCTTTTTTTTGTTTGTTTGTTTGTTTTTTTAGTGGAAAGGTTCAAGAAGCACTGAGCTAGGCTGTTAGTGTGTGCCCAACTTCCCAAAGGTTAAATCTCCCATCCATCAGCTTGTGAGGAGATGAAGCTTAGAGTAAAGAAAATTCAGAGGGCAAGAACTCAGAATGCATAGCATTTAGAGGCATTCAAGTTGTGCTTCCTGAGCTCTGTTTGCCATTTCATGAGTCAAGGAGTGGTGCATTTCAAGAACTTCCTTTCCATTTATTCCTGCAAGTAATTTATTGAAGGCCCACTCCCTGCAGACTGCTGTGTTAGGAGGTATGTAGGTGACCAAGGCATGATCTTTGGGCACTACACTAGAAGTTGGCCAGGGTAGACAGGAATGCATGGAAATAGAAGATGAAGTTTCTGCCTTCAATTAGTGATTGTATGGAAAATGAGGAGCAAACACATGCAAAAACCATAGCAAATTGTTTAAGATCATAAACAAATGAGTATTAAATAATACATTATGAACTATAAATGCTGTACAGTATCCAGTCAGAGGAAGATGCTCCTGAGGCCACATGCAAAATGGCAGGACTTCCAGCAGAGTAAACTTTGCAATAGAAAATGTCCTCCGGGCTGAACTGTGAGATGCCCAGTGGTTTGCGCTGAGCTCTCCCACGGAGAAGTCAAATACCCATGACCACGTTTTGTCCTCTAGCTATAGTGTGCTGACAAATAGGGACCAGAAAGAGCTCAACACTGCATTTACCCTGGAGTCCCTGAAGTTTTGCTCTAGTCCCTCTGAGCACCGTGATTATGTGATCTCTTCAAGCCTACAACGTTCCCTGTCACCGTAGGATTGTCAGGGATCAGGCTGCTAAAGGAGGGTCCTCTGGATTTGTTTGGGACTGCCACACACGTTTCTCTGGCTCATTGGCCAGCGGCAGATAGCTTTGATAGGAGGGAGCCATGCGGCTCTGAGAATGTTGGTCTTTGTTGCTCCTTCTGGTTGCCAAAATAAACCGGAACGCTTCATTCCAAAGAGAAAGCTGAGTGAGAAGCCTGACAGTTTTACAGGGAATAAAAGTCTCAGAGGGTGGTATATTTTAAGTACTTTTTCCTTGCAGTCATAAGTGTTGCTAAAAACAGATGCTAGCGAGCTCTGGCTTTTGGGGGGGACTTCTAGCAGGGCTTCTGTTGCCAAGGGTAAGTTTGAGAGGAGGGATTGGCTGCCGTGAGTCCCTGGTGAACCTGTCGCAGCCTCCCCAGGCAGAGTCGAGGTTCCTCTTCCATCCCGCGGCACTTTGTCCATCCCTGTGCCAGCATTTATCTCACTGTTTCCTTGTCTATAGAACCTCTTGAACAAGACCCAACTGGCAGAGTCATGGGGGAATGAGGCTGAGGGGAGGGAAGGAGGAAGGAAGGAAGGAAGGACAAAGGGCGGGCAGATGGGTCTCAAGTATGTTTCTATTTCTTTGGTCTCCCCACGCCTTTTAGAAGGCTTTGTGTTTTTAGCATTGATTACAATAAAACCTGAGAAAGCTGGCATCTGTGTAAGGCAGAAACCTGTTAGAGAAGGAAAACTCAAATATTTTCCACTAAAACGAGCAACAGAAAAGTGGTAAGGCTGTACTCTGTCAGAGGCGGAAAGCTTGTGAGACCCAGAAAAAAACAAGGCAGTCCTGCTCTCACGGGTTTCACTGGATATGTCAGGGCCCTCTGAGGTTGAAGCCCTGAGTTTAACTTGATTTTATCTTAGAGAAAGTCACAACTTTCACATGACACAGTTTCACTAATGCACTTCCATTAAAAAGTATAATCGAGGCTCACAGGCCATAAAGACATGGTGAAGTTACTGGAAGATACTGAATAGAACAGATACATAGACTGTAGTCATCTGGTCATTTTATCCATCCTTCTCTACCTGGGTTAAATAAAAAATCTGTCTTATTCTTAAATATCCCCAGAGAAGATTCCATGATGCCCCTTCCTTAGAGTCATCCTGGCAGTTTAGGATTCTGGTTGTCAGTAAGCTGTTAAAAACCAATTAGCAGTGCAATGGAAAAAGTCTCAATTTTGACTACGTGCTGTTCACAGGGTCCCTAGCATTGTGGTATTGTCCTTAGCTAGAAGCACCAATACCCTCACTCATTCATGCACACCCTGCTCTGATGGCACCTATGCTACGGATACTGTCTTTTGTGGACTTGCAGGGCCTGTGGTCAAGAACCTTTGAAGAGCTGCTGGAAGGGAAGCTGGGGGTGGGGAGGTGGAAGGAATAGGATTGGGGACTGATGCCTCCCTCTCCTGCCTCATTTTTTCTGTGGGCCTCATTTTGTATGCAAGGAAATAAGCCAAAGAGCCTGTGAAGAAAGGAAGAATGAGATAGTTTCCTAAGTTGTCTCTGCCTGAGTTGGCCGCGGGTCTGGGGTTCATTCAGCCCTTTGTTCTCCCGTTGAGTGCAGTGCGTGTGTGGTGACAATGGAGTGATGCAGTTACACTGAGGGCTAATGGTAGGAGTTCCGTCAGCCCATTCATGGAGGCAGAGGAGGGTGCAGGGCTCGGAGCCCGAGCCAGCAAGCAGAGGAAGTCAGAGGCCCGTGTAACGAGCTGGAGATCACAAACACTGCTGTCAGGACTCCGAGGCTGGGGGAGCGGGGGTGGCAGGCAAGGGGGGGGGCAGGGGAGGGGACCTATCATCCTAGAAGTTGGAGGTTTGCCCGACCTCCAGCACTGTGGAGTGCCACCTGTCCGGGCTGACAGACGAGCATTATGGCTTTCCTTTTAATCAGCTTAATTTGAGGCATCTTAACACAATGGCTGGTGCACTTTACATGCACGTAGCATCTTTTCGTTGGAGGCGCTGTCGTTTTTTCTGGTCACTGGGGCTGGCTTCCTTCCTTAGAGCTTCTCTGCCCTATATGTCTTTACTTAGAGCCCAGAAGAAGCAGAGTTGTATGGGGAATCGAGTTCTGAAATTGGAGGCTTGCTCTTTTTAAGGCCATGCTCGGCTTTGAACTAGGTGTAACTGGGGGGCAAGCCACCTTAATTATCAGGCTTGAGCGCCCTCGCTGTAAATGAGACCATTTGGCTATTTGATCTGACCCTCAATTTCTGCAGTTCTGTGATTACTGATGTTGTCTTCTAATCCTGTCCCATATGAAGTACTGTGACTCCACTCTTCTCCAGCTTTGCTCCTCTTCTCTTTGGGCTCTTTAACTCCCCTCCCCATCTAGTTCCTTCTCCCAGCTTGACCTCCTAGCAGAAAGAGCCTGGCTAGATTTGAGGCAGGGCTTCTCCTTCCTGCAAGTCACTCCTCCACTCCTATCCCCTGTGCCCTCCTGCTCTGCTGCTTTAGGGACTGGGAGCTCCTGGGGCAGGAATGGGGCAGTGCGGGGTTGGTTTCTCTAGTTGCGGTAATGGCACTGCCACACATTCTCTTCTTTCTTCACTTTCTGTTGGCTCACAGAACTTTCCCATGCCTTTTGGGGGTCCTAAAAGGACCCCGATAATACTAAACAAGGATATTAGTATGCGGGGAGTGTACTCCGTCTCACGGAAGGGGGATGCTGGACTTCCTCTCCACCATCATTGAGTAGAGTGTTCTACATCGCTATACAAGACAGGCTTCTGCCCTCGAAAAGCTTTTCATCTAGCCAGAATGAGAGATTTGCACAGTTGAAACCAGAGGTGATAATAGCTAAGCTGTGAAGCTTCTCTAAGAAAAAAAAAATGAAACCTGAAGGGGGCGTTAGTCAGCAACCTTGGAGAGCTTTCCAGGAATGGGGAACACCATTGAGACCTAGTGGGGTTTAGTTTCCAACTCTGTCACAGGGTCAATCTAGAAGAGAATGGGAATGGGGCTTGGAGTCTCTTGTTCCTGAGGTATCTGTTTAAGTCATCTTTTTTCTCTTCTTTTCAAGTAAGAAGAGTCAAAGATCAAGAGCTGGCTATAGTGATGATTTACATTGAAATTAAAATGAGCCCAAAGAAAGAAGAGAGTATGTGTTTTGTATGAAATCTATGACATCTTTATTTTGTTCAGAAGAGCCTGTGCATGTATTCTTGGCTGGAGCTTACGTAAATGTGACTCTTGATGTGCGTGTTGTCATGATGTCCCTTGGCTCTGAAAGTCCAGTAGGAGTGACTGCCAAATGTCTCTGCTGTCCCTGCAGGATTTTCTCAGAATGTTCCTCTAAGGTCTGCTAGAAGGGAAGGCTGAATACCAAGAAAAGTAGGAACATTGGTGACCCAGAAGGGAAGAAGACTCTTTATATGGCCTGAAATCAACTTATTTTGTGTTCTGGAACCTGGTCTTCCCATTTCAAGGACCATCTATCTCAGGGATGCTGGTGTGGTCACGCTGTTGAGGTAGAGGGTATGCCGACCCAGATTACCTCTCTGTGGGGCCAGAATAGAGCCTCCAAGGAAGGAAAGCCACTCAGGAATGGCTGGAAGGCCTTTGGATAGGTTTCTTGTTGGGGAGTGAGGTCATACATGAAAACTTCACATCAGAAAGTACTCACCAAGTGGCTATACCATGTGAAGCCCTCTTTAAAGATACTTCATTGTGAATACCTAACAGACATTTCTTTTTTAATTTAATGTTTCAGAGCTATCTTCTGTCCACATACCCCACCCCACCCCTACACACACACATATACACACAAGGTCCCTCAGTCAGCTGAGAGTCCTGCCATCTTCTTTAAATAACAAAAGCTCTTCATGCCTCGAGCTTTGGGTAGGGTTTGTCTTCCATGAAGGCAGGGATACAGTTACTACCTCTGTGGTATGGAGGGGTTCTGACTTGTTCCCTGTTTTTCCCAGTGTGGGGGGATTAAAACATACCCTTCAACCATTCCTGAAACACCTCTCCAGTGGAGGGGTATCACTCATTAACTTCTTGGGTTCAATTGAGTATTCTCTGCAAGAAAAGAGACAAAGAAGAAAATAGTATTAAATTATCTGGCCCAGCGTTCCACCCATTGAGTTTGTGCAGGGGGTGAGGGAGTAAGCATGAGAAGGAGAAGGGACTGAGCATGCTGCTGTTCAGAGCCTCGGTTTCTGCTCACTTCTCAGGCTGTGGGTATCTCCCCACACCATGGTGAGTCTAGTGTTTACCGATACGTGTTGTTTCTGCAACATGGCCCCTAAGAGCAAACTAATGCCTTCCTATGGTGTGCAAACAGAGGCAGAGATGTCCGTTCCAGCTTTGGAATGCAGACTGACAGTGTCACGCGGTCTCACTGTCTCTGAGGTAGGACCTTCCTAAGGGACATTCAAGAGAAGCTTGGACTGTCGTCATTTTTTTGCCTGATACATTAACCGCCATATTAGCTTTGCCTCTATTTAAGATTAATTTAGATGAGAAAGCTTGAAGGTTTTCAGATATCCTCTACTGAAGTGCAAGTGCCCTTAGAGACGTGATGCCCTTGCCCTTTACCACCACCTAGCACCTTCAACAAGCTTGTCAGCACTGCCCTGCAGGAGGGGCCTGGAGGAGGGACGTGGGGAAGAGCCGAACAGGGACACAGGTGAGACCTGTCAGATTTCTAATCACTGGCTGGGAGCATCTGAGTAGAGAAGGTGACCAGGAAATGTCGCAGAAGAGTTTGAGAGATGCTAGTACGTTCTTGGTTGTAGTCCCTGAATCTTATCTCAGCTTTGTTCAGGGTTTGCGGGGAGACCTCCGCTGCTGGATCTTGTCTATCTTGTTCCATGCTACATCCCCAGTGCCTGGCACACAGTACACCTTTAACAAATCTCGAATAAATGCTAACCGGTACCTTACTTTACCAGTAGCAGTTGCCATGTCTCATGGCGACCCCATGTGTGTCAGAGTAGAACTGTGCTCCATAGGGTTTTCAATGGCTGATTTTTGGAAGTAGATCTCCTGGCCTTTCTTCTGAGGCACCTCTGGGTAGACTCAAACCACCAGCCTTTTGGTTAGCAGCAAGCACGTTAACCATTTGCACCATCCAAAAAAAAAAAACCAAACCCACTGTCATTGAATAGATTCTGACTCATAGCAACCCCATAGGGTTTCCAAGGCTGTAGATCTCTATGGAAGCAGACTCCACATCTTTCTCCCGCAGAGCCACTGGTGGTTTCAAACTGCTGACCTTCCAGTTAGCAGTCAATTGCTTTAACCATTGTGCCATCCCGGGACTCCAGATTGAGATTAGAGAAGTTAAATAACTTAGCTGTTGCCCCCCAAGTAAGGTGAGTGGGCAGCAAATACTACCTTCCCACTTTTAATTATTCTTAGATTCCAGGTGATGTTTCATTGCTATCTCTAGCCTTTGGTCTGTTGATGTTCCTCATTTTTTTTTCCCCTCATAAAAAGCTGTAGTTGGAAATGTGGACTGGGTGACAGAAAAGGAAAATTTGGGGGTGTGGAAACTTCGTTCCTGAGCAGTTAATTCCAATTTTATTTTAGGTCTTTGGAAAATAAAGATGATGCTTTTGTGCTTAAAAACCTGTTGCTATCAGGTCGACTCCAACTCATAGCGACCCTGTCGGACAGGGTAGAACCGCCCCATAGGGTTTCCAAGGAGCAGCTGGTGGATTCGAACTGCCGACCTTTTGGTTAGCAGCCATAGCTTTTAACCACTGCACCACCAGGTGCTTGGCAAATAGTAATCTCTGGGCAGTGAGGGAAGATCGTGATGAAACAAACGAAAAGGAGGCATGTGTTAAGCTGGCAAGAACCGAGGAGATTCAGTTCAGCACATTTTCCATGTGTGTATGCTGTTTAAGAAAGTGCAACAGAGCAGCCTTGCAGAGGGAAGAGGCTGGAAAATATCTTCTAAGAGCAATTTCTTTAGCTCGAACCCCACTTGAGTATGACCCACAGTCCCTTCCTAGTGATGCCCATGACTTGCCATTGTATTCCACGTCACCTAGCTAACAGACGCCTCTGCCTGGGGCAAACACATTCTGAAATACAGATTAATATCAGAGCAATGCTGTAAATCCTTGCTTATTCTCAAACCGGGCATCTCAAATGTTCAGAATTTTGTAAACATTCTGTATTGTGTTTTTACGAGAGGTACCACAAAATTAAACCTGTTGCCCTCAGGTTATTCTGACTCATGGTGACCCCACGTGTTACAGAGTAGAACTGCTCCATAGGATTTTCTTGGCTGTGATCTTTATGGAAGTAAATCCCTAGACCTTTCTTCTGTGGCACCGCTGGGTAGGTTCAAACCGCAAACCTGTTGGTTAGTAGCTGAGTGCAAACCATTTGCACCACCCAGGGAACCTTAAGAGAATTAAAAAAAAAAAAAAAAAAACCATTGCCATCAAGTCAATTCCGACTCATGGCAACCCTATGTGTTACAGAATAAAACTTCTCCATCAGGATTCTTGGCTGTAATCTTTATGGAAACAGATCTTTTAGGCCTTTCTTCCATGGTGCTGTTGGGTGGGTTTGAACTGCCAGCCTTTAGGTTAGTTGTGTTGTGGTCATTGTGTTCCATCAAGTGGATTCCACCTCATAGCGATACTGTATGACAGAGTAGAACTGCCCCCATAGAGTTACCTAGACTATAGTCTTTACAGGAGCAGATTGCCAGGTTTTTTCTGCTGCAGAGCCACTGGTCGGTTCAAACCGCTGACCTTTTTGTCGGCAGCGAGCACTTAACCATTGTGCCACCAGGGCTCCTTTTTTAGGCTAGTGGTCAAGCGCGAGCCATTTGTACCACTGTGGTAAGTAAGGAATCTGGAATTTTTTTAATACACACTTTATGTGAGGGTCAGTACATTTCAGCTCATTCCCTTCTTATCTATCCCTCGGGTGCTGAATTTGTCTACTACTGTAGCATTTCTGGTGGCCTTTCTCTTTTCTGTCTCTCCTAACTTCCAAGCAGAAAGCATTTGGTTGGCTGCTTGAATACCAGGCTATGAAAAGTTCCTCAAGTAGACTATTATTTAGGCCAGTGCTTCTCAGACTCTAATGTACTACAGATCACCTGGGGTCCTGTTAAAATGCAGATTCTGATTAGATTGGTTCAGACTGGGCTGAAACGCTGAATTTCTAACAAGCTCCCAGGTGATGCTGATGCTTGCTGGTCCACGGACCCCACTTGGAGACGTGAGGCACTCTAGGCACTCCAAGAATGCATCTCCTTTATTCCACATTTGTTTCTACTGGAAGACTAGCATGGGATGGTGTGAGGTTGAATTATGTGTGTATTTTCCTCATAAAAGGCTCTGTGCCCTGTTCATCTTGCTAACTGCTCTGGTTTGGGCCTTTTTTCCCTCCAGGATTGTCTCAAAGCCTGCCAGGAGCAGATCGAGGCAGTGCTGCTCAACAGCCTGCAGCAGTTCCGTCAGGACCAGCGGGATGGCGGCAAGTCGGAGGATGAACTGGACCAAGCCAGCACCCCTACAGACGTGCGGGATATTGACCTGTGAGGATGACAGTTGGCTCAAGGGGAGAGGCGCGTTCGTAATCTGCTCTCTCCCTCCCCCGGTTATATTTTGTTCTTTGTGTTTTAGGATGAAACTTTAAAAAAAAAAAATTCTGCCCCCACCTAGATCATATTTAAAGATCTTTTAAGAAGTGAGAGAAAAAGATCCTATCAAACGGAATAATTAAAAGCATTTGGTGCCTATTTGAAGTACAACAGAAGGGAATCCTTATATATGCGAGCAGTTACTGTTTGAATATGTAAACGTAATAGTAAAATGCTTTCAGGAAAACCTGCAGAGTAGCTAGAGAAAATGTACGCCTGCAATATGGGAACAAATTAGAGGAGACTTTTTTTTTCATGTTATGAACTAGTAGTGCATTGCACCCCTTTTAGGATAATTGCAAGGAACTGTGTATGCCATTTATGGCTTGATTAGATTGCAAAGCAATGAACTCAAGACGGAATTAGAAATAAGGAGGGACATGATGGGGAGGGAGCACAAAACAATCTCTCAACATGATTGAACCATTTTGGACATAGAAGCGCCTTTGCTTTCGACCACCTGTTATAAGTCAGAAGTGTTGTTGGATCTCTACCTTATGTACCCTTGCTGTCGACAGTAGCTGCTACCTAAAAAAGAAGAGGCTTTATTTTGCCAGTTGGACACAGGTGGTTGGCTGGCTTTGGGGTTTCAAGGTTTTTGACATCCTGCTTCTTCTTCCAAACATGGTTCATTGCAGACACCACCACATTTTTATCTAATGGGAAAATCTAGCTATGGGCCATAACCAAAATTCATATGAAACGGAGGCAGATGGAGGCCAAGGGTGGGATCTGGAATGCAATCTTTTATCGTATTGTTTTCAAGAGAGTCATGTGAACTTGGCATCCCTTATTAGGAAAATCTTAACTTCTGGTGCTGATTGACATGTCTGGTCCACAGTTTAGCATTGTTATAAACCATTCCATTCGAAAAGCACTTTGAAAAATTGTTCCCAAGGGATAGATGGGATGGTTTATGCAAATCGTGCTGAATCGACTCCTCCCCTCTTCTCCTTCCCTCCTCCCCTCCTGCTCCCAGTCTGGGTTACTATTAACTCTGGTATCTGACATTCTCTGGTACATAGTTCTGGCATCCCTGCCAGAACTCGAGACACCCCTTTCCACTGACATTCCCATCACAACATTCCTCACAAAAGCCTAAAAACAAAGATCTGTTACCGTTTTGATGTCACAGAAGGATCTTAATTCCTGCCTATATACTTCTCCTTTGGACATGGAAAGAAAAGTTATTGCTGGTGCGAAAAACAGACAGCTAAACATCAGGGTGT